AAGATTTCTAGCCTGCATTGCTTACCTGCTGGGAAGGTAAAGTACAGAGAAGATGTGTGGGGTGTATGTCTGTAAATGGTGGTGAGATGCTTCATATGCATTTAATTTGAATTCTCTCTGGATATCTGGGATTACAGATGTTGCTCTGTTTGTTTTGCAGATACTGTGCAGCCAGTTTGTCTGCCTAATCCAGGAATGATGTTCCAGCCTGCCTGCATTGCTTACCTGCTGGGAAGGTAAAGTACAGAGAAGATGTGTGGGGTGTATGTCTGTAAATGGTGGTGAGATGCTTCATATGCATTTAATTTGAATTCTCTCTGGATATCTGGGATTACAGATGTTGCTCTGTTTGTTTTGCAGATACTGTGCAGCCAGTTTGTCTGCCTAATCCAGGAATGATGTTCCAGCCTAATCAGCAGTGCTGGATATCAGGGTGGGGAGCAGAGTATCAAGGAGGTAAGTAGTGGTTCTGAAATGGTTTGGCCTTCTACATAAACTAGTCCTCTTTATCCTATGAATAACCATTTGATGGGCTGATTAGGCAGTTTAATCCAGATCTGTTGATACACTGTTTTCCTCCCCATTTTGCAGTCCCAACTATTTACACAAGGCATTCTGTCTCAGAGTTAAGTTGTGATCTGTTGCATTCAGCAGACTGCAAAAGAGTCTCAAATCAGTACTGGGGGTCATAAATAATCACCCAGCAAACAATTCTGTGCCCCTGCTAGCAGGGCCATCTCTCCTGCAACAAGGCTAGCTGTGTGCCAAGCCAGACCTGTGATTGGAAAAGGGGAGGGAGCCTGTCCCTTCCACCACCCCAGGCTAAAATAGGAAAGTAAAAATGCAAGTCAATTTGTGAGAATGGAAAAGGAGGAAAGATTTCTTTCAACATGAGAAGGCACTAGGAAGAGAGTGTTGGGGAAGCTGAGCCCTGAGTATGGGACTTGCTGGCAGCTGGTGCTGGACCATGAAACTCTGGGGAGGTCCTCTTCACCTCTTGCAGACTTCATGCATCTTAAATGTCCATCCTGCTGCTTCTAGTAAGTTTATTTCATCTTGAACATTGCTGACTGCTGGGATTCACAATAGCAATGTAATATGTTGCTTGTTCTAATTTTCTCTTTTTTTTTTGCATGTGCATATTTCAATTTTAGGTAAAACATCAAATAACTTGAATTATGTCTCAGTGCCCCTAATAGAACGTTCAAGGTGTAATTCTGTCTATATCTATAATGGCATGATCTTGCCTACAATGATCTGTGCTGGAGATTTAGCAGGAGGAATCGATTCCTGTCAGGTAATTATTCCTAATTAACACCTAATAGTGATCTGATTATTTTTGTGGTCTTACCAGCAGCTTTTAAAAATAATCTATTTATCTATTAATTAAAAAAAATCCTATGTCCTCACCCAAATTAATAATTTGCATAACATTTGGTTGAGCTTCTGCTTCCTTTTGTGGTGCACCCCTTTGAAACCTTTTGTTTCCTCTCCTGAATGGCTGAGAGTGCTAAATTCTCACCAAATACTCCAAGAGGGTGAGGCTGTCCTTTGTAAATGATTCAAGGGTGGTTTGTTATCTGGTGCTAGAGAGTGATCAAATGCTCTTCATAATCCCAGCAATGCCCTAGTTATGTTTGTAAACAAGGAAGTCAATAATGCTGATCTTATTTAGACTCATAGAATCAACCAGGTTGGAAAAGACCTCAAAGATCATCAAGTCCAACCCTACCGTGGTCACTAGACCATGGCACTAAGTGCCACATCCAGTCTCAGCTTGAAAACCTCCAGGGATGGTGAATCCACCACCTCCCTGGGCAGCACATTCCAATGCCTGAGCACTCTCTCCCTAAAAAATCTCTTCCAATAGATCCAGGGCTTTGGGCAAAAGATTTTCATCTTTAGTGCAATCAGTCATCATTTAATACCAACATTGCCATCACCTTTTGATGTCTTGACTCCCTAAAACAGTGGATTGCTTTCTTTGAAACTAAACCTGTATTCCTGAAGTGAAGTGGATTGTGCCTTTGCTGGTGGCCAAGTCACTAATTAAACACTTGTATTCTGTGCAGGGGGACAGTGGAGGTCCACTAGTGACTAACAAAAACTCTGTGTGGTGGCTGGTTGGAGATACCAGCTGGGGAACTGGCTGTGCTACTCCCAATAAACCTGGAGTCTACGGGAATATGACTGTGTTTACAGACTGGATTTATAAAAATATGCAGGTAAAATATTTGGATGTTTTTAATGATTTTTTTTTTTAAACTGTCCCAACTCCTGAAAGGTGATTTTTCTTTATAAAAATAAATAAATAAATGTGACTTGGCTGCTAATTAAGCCATGCTGTTGGGAAGCATCCAAGCAATAGATAAGATAGTCTGTCAGTCTCTCAGCAGAACTTGAGCCTTTGTTTTTTGTTTTGTCTTTTAAACAGGCAAACAGATGACAACGCTGTCTGTCCTTGCTGATGGATGTTTCTGAGGACAAGAATAAATGAAGCCATGGGTGCCTGGGATATTTATTCACTTTGCAATTGATTTTTTTTTTCCTCTTTGAATTTTCTTTTTGAAAATAACATGAAGGATTGCACACTTGGTTCTGTGCTGGCTACAGGGACTGATCTTAATCAGCAAAGGATTATCACAATGAGCACCTTTCTTCTCCTTGTGGTGCCTGGCAGAAAGTCATTCTGTCAACTGCTTGCTGAAATGTCTCTCTTTAGTTGAGTAACTTTTCACTTGATAATCAGGTACAGGCTTATAATGACAATTTAAATCACAATTTAATTTAAGATTTTCATAGCAGGATGCTGAGACAGTTGGTTTAGTAGTATTTTAAATTAAATGTTAAGTAATGTGAATGTTTAATCTCTGAGCTGCTGGTTGGCAATTTAAAAAGAAATTAATTTTTTTTTTTTAGCATAGAATCACAGAATGGTTTGGGTTGGAAGGGACCTTAAAGATCATCCAGTTCCAACCCCCCTGCCACAGGCAGGGACACCTTCCACTAGACCAGGTTGCTCTAAGCCCCATCTGACCTGGCCTTGAACATTTCTAGGGATGGGATATCCACAACTTCTCTGGGCAGCCTGTGCCAGTGCCTCACTAGTCTCACAGGGAAGAATTTCTTCCTAAAATCTAACCTGAACCTGTCCTCTTTCAGTCTGACATCTCTGCCCCTTGTCCTGTCACTACATCTCCTTGTGGAAAGTCCCTCTCCAGCTCTCTTGTAGGCCCCTTAGGCACTGGAAGGGGTTCTAAGGTCTCCCCAGAGCCTTGTCTAGGCTGAACAAACTCTCTCAGCCTGTCTCCATAGCAGAGGTTCTCCAGCCCTCTGAACATCTTCATGGCCTCCTCTGGACTCCCAACAGGTCCATATTGCATCCCAGAGCTGGATGCAGTACTCCAGGTGGGTTCTCAGGAGAGTGGAGTAGAGGGAGAGGAGTATATATGAAGGGAAATTTTCATGCACTACAGTAGAGGCACAGGAAAAAAAATACTGTCAATTCAGGTAGTTAAAAATCCTCAGGATCTCTCTCAACACAGCAGTCATCCAAGTCAGATTGTTCAAAGTGAGACCATTCTGACTGCCTCAGTCATTAAAAGTGCTGCTCTGAACCCAAAAAGGGCAAGACTTGCCATCACTCTCCATGTAGGCTATGGAGAGGGATGCTCTGGAGCTGGAGCAGGAGGTGGTGAGTTAGGTGTCCCAGTGTGTCCATCAGGGTTGACTCTTGAACTCTCCCTGCTGTGAAAGACAAAGGGCAAACTTTATCAGTGAGGCTGTGTTGCAAGACCTCCTATTGCAGACACAGGGAAGACACTGGATGGTTTGTACAAAGAAACAAATCTGTGTTTCTGCGTAACCAGATGAACTACCTCATTTGTTAAATTTGGCTTCTCATTCCTTAGAGCTCTCCTATATGTATCTGCCTGTATGTTTTTAGGAAAATGTAATTAATATCCAAGTGCCACGTCACTTAGGGTCTTGAGAATAATTTATAATCATAGTACAGAGGATCAACAAGCCATATCAAGTCACTTCGTTAAGAAGGATAAATCTCTATTGAATGAAATGACTCCACTAGTCTCATTTTTTTCTTTTGGTACTGAAATGCAATTATCTTACATGTAAACACTGCACCAAATAAATTTTTTTTTTTTACAAATAGCTCTCCTTAGTGTTTTGTGTCTGTTTACTTGGATTTTTTTTGGAAGCTGGATTCAGTGCTTGAAGTACTTGAGAATCTGTTTAAAAACCCCAAACAAGCAAAAACCAAAGCAAAATAAAAACAACTCAAGAGATTGTTTTAATTCTAATATTTCAGGTCTTTAGAACAAACCCAGGGAAGGAAAACAAGATGGTCTGTTCTCCCTGAACTGCAGGAATGTTGAACGTCATTGGTGTCCGGGTCTGATGAAATCACTCTGACTTGTGAAACTGAATTAAATAAGGAGGTTTAGCCTACAGGCAGTGGCTTGAGGGAGTCACACCCTGTTTTGTTAGTACATCTCATGCTGCCTGAAGCAATGTGTACCTGCCTCTAGGTGTAAGACAGGTGTTTTCAATAGCACATGCGCATCAAATGTGCCTTGAGGGATACCATAAAGTAGCAAACGAGTTTAAAGCACTTTCAAAGTAGAAATAAAAATCATAGGACTTAGGGGTTGGAATGGACCTTACAGGTCCAGTCCCAACCCCTGCCCTGGGCAGGGACACCTCCTCACTAGATCAGGTTGCTCAAGGCTCATCCAGCCTGGCCTGGAACACCACCAGGGTTGGGGCAGCCACAGCCTCCCTGGGCAACCTGTGCCCGTGTCTCACCACCCTCACATGGTAAAACTTTTTTCTCACCTCTAACCTCTAACCTAGACTTTCCCTCCTTCAGTTTGAACCCTTTACCCCTTGTCCTATCACTGCAGTTCCTAGCACAGAGTCCCTCTCTGGCACCCTTAAGCAGAGTCCAGGTTATCACAGACCTCCTAGTCCCACAGGAGAAGGTAAAAGTTCAGTCTCATTCCTGAGAACACTGGTAGGGAACTCCCAGGAGATAGAAAGCAGCTATAAAATGCACTACCACGTTAGTCTTATCTGAGATGTACAAGGTTGAGATGTGTATTGCTTTTGGCTGAAACATTATTGTTCAAAAAATGGGTTTTATTTTTAATGAGACCTGCAGTGGGGACTGGGACAGGCTAAAGCATCTATCTCTCTGCTCTCATCTTTGGAAGAAGGAGCTGCTAGTGTGAAGTTTGTATTTTAAGAAGGAAAATCTATGTTTTCTATGCTGCTAAAAATCTCAAGAAAGAACAAAATGCCATAAAAAAAACAACAAAAAAGAACCCCAAACCCACAGCAGATAAGTGAAATAAAAACTTCACAGGCCCAGGAAATGAGGAACTGCTGTTGCTCAAGCATTATTGAACCCACCCATCTTAATCCCCTGAATCTTTGTTCAGTATTTCATTGCAGCTAAGAAGAGATCAGATATATGACAGTCAGATATTACTTTCCTCCAGGCATTATGTATGAGTAAAAGCATCAGTTTCTTTTTGCTCGTCTGTGTGACTTGCAGTTGGTGGGAGCTCTGCTTAAAGCACAGCCTGCCTGCAAAAGGGTATCTCTCACCCAAGAACTTTTCCTTTCTTGTGTTTTTCTTTTAAATATAGTGGAAACTTCCCACTTTGAAGGCAGATAACATTACAGAAAGTACATGAAGAAAGAGTTACCACTGAAAAACTGAAAATGCAACCTATTATTTGATCAATATTTCCTACCTCTGTCATCAACTCAAACTGCCAGGGATTTTTAAGAGACGTGTCAAAGACCCTGAAACATTTCTCCTGCTCTTAAATGGAGAGATATAAAAGGGACTCTGTCCAGGCACTTTATGGGATTGGTTGTCACGTTCACACCAGAGGTAAAAATGGGAGGATGTGAAAGGTCTACCCAAATGGTCAGGGGGTACAAGGGACCTTCTTGTCCAGAATCCTGACTAGCATGCAGCTGCTGCTGGGGATGTTTGAAACGGGAGCCAGATAAAACACAAAGAAAGGAAGGTCTAGCACCTTAGAGGCAAAGCTGTTGGCATCCACCCAGCTGCAAGTGAAAGGCAAGGTGACCTCCAGCCCTGTCTGTGGCTTCCTGTGTCTGTCCAGGACAGGTAAGCACAGAAAGGTCGTGCACCTCTACAAAGAGATGCAGAGTGTGTGGAAAGACACTGCTGCCACCTGCTGTGCCATTCTGCTGTTAAATCCACACCCTGAGTAATGCCACTGCTAAAAGCTCATCTCTTCCCATGGGATTTACCTACTAGGGTTAGAAAAAGATGGATTGCTGTGCAGGTTTTAAGCTTATTTCATGGTGATGATCCCACCCAGAGCTACTTCACAAGGCATGGTGAGACCACAGCACCTACCCAGCCCAGGAAAGAACAGAGAATCACTTCCCACCTGCTGCTTCTGTCACTTGGCAGTTGGCAGTGTCACCTGGAGAGCATCACCCTCCACTGCTGGAGCTGTCTGTGGACTAGAGCACCTGATAGAGAAGGTAAGGAAGGAAGGAGATCTGCATGAGTGATTCTACACTACTATGGCCTTGCCCTAACCAAAATTAAATTTTTAACTTTATGATCCCTTGATTATTTTTAAAACCAAAGCTATTTAACATTTCCCCACAGTAATTTTTCAGAATTACAGTTCCATGGAAAAGCTTTTCACTCTTCCTGGAGAGGCAGTTCCTTTACAAGTGTTCAACTTGTGGGTGCAAAGTCAAAAATTTCACTTTCAAACCAACTTTCCAAGATTGCTTCTAATCTGAAAAGTGATGGTAAAAGTGGCAGCTTTTTTTTGCTTAAGTATTCACTTTTCCATCATTTCTTCAGATCAGAGGGTTATCAAAGTACTTGTGGCTCCTCAGCTTACCATACAGTGCCATGAACAAATTAAAACAAAGCTGATGGTAGCTGTTCAGCACTGCAGCTTACCAACACTGTCTCCAGATGACTCAACTTCATTCCTGAAAAAGTGAAAACAGGATGAAGTTAAAGAACATTTTGCAGGAATTTGTGCCGTGAAAGATTCTTGGGTGGCTTGATCTTTGATTCAGATTACAGGGATGCAACTTTTACTGTTTCGAAGGTGGAACACTTGCACAGAGTGTGAAGAACAGAGCAAGTGTAGAGCAGAAGAACATAGAACTTGGAGTACTTGCACATTTCATGGTAACTGCCAAATAGAAATGGAAGTAAAATGTAATTGTAATTGATCTAAGCTGAATTGTGGCCTGGAGCAGAAGGCAATGACTGTCAGACTGCAGAGAGCTGGAGGACTGGCTCAGAGCTTGGCACTTTGAGGACTGCTAACAGTTAGCACTGTAATTATGCTATTTTTATAATTCAGACATATAACAAAGGGTGATTATAATGCAAAGGAATAAATGTTCTGTCAGTAACACGAACACTGCCTGAATAAATTATTATTATTACAAGAAGAATGACTTTGGTGTGGAAAAATACTGAAACTGCTGTAGAAGTATTTGGTTTGCAACCACCTCATCAGTAGTAAGGTGATAGGGAGGAACCACTGAGTGTGCCAAACTCAAATGGAATCAAACTGATTTAACTGCTTCCTGGGCTATGGAGCAGTTTGCAAACTGGCAGCAGAAAACTGTAGGGACTGGTGAGGGATGCAGTACTAGAAAGCTGCTAAGAGCACAGCAGTGACTACAAGTAGGTAGTGACAGCTGCGACAAGGGTAGAGATTTGAAGCAGCTCAAACCCTTAAATTTATCAGGAAAACATATACTCACTTTCAAAAATCCTGTTATTTTATGACTTCCTTCCTGAACTTTGTAATTCCAAACCAGAAGATTTTAGTTCCACTTCTCATCAAAATACCTGTTTGTTTTCAGATGAGAGTAAAACCACACAGAGGAAAGAAAGGTTAAACACTGTTCATATGACTTATTATTTCTTATTACCCCACCTGGAATACTATGTGCAGTTCTGTTGTCCTCAACATCAGAAAGACATGGAACTGTTGGAGCAAGTCCAGAGGAGGCCATGAAGTTGCTAAGAGCACTGGAGCATCTCCCCCATGAGGACAGGCTGAGGGAGTTGGGGCTGTTCAGCCTGGAGAAGAGAAGGTTGTGTGGAGACCTCAGAGCAACTTTTCAATATCTGAAGGGGCTACAAGGAGCTGGAGAGGGACTCTGTGTTAGGAACTGCAGTGACAGGACAAGGGATAATGGATTCAGATTGAAGGATGGAAAATTTAGGCTAGGTACTAGGAAAAGATTTTTTTTCCTGTGTGGGTGGTGAGACACTGGCACAGGTTGCCCAGGGAGGCTGTGGCTGCCCCAACCCTGGCAGTGTTCACAGCCAGGTTGGATGAGCCTTGAGCAACCTGCTCTGGTGGGAGGTGCCCCTGCCCAGGGCAGGGGTTGGGACTGTATGATCTATAAGGTCCATTCCAACCTCTAAAATTCGATGATTCTATGAAATTGTACAATTACCCAATTAGTGTTCAGATGCTTATTGGGTTCTGGAGGCAATTTACTAGAGTCATAGATATAGAAATATAGAATCATCTTTATTAAAGAGGTATACATTTGTTCAGAGCAGGTTTCTTGGGATACAGCCTTCTATTTGGATTTCAGCTGGCCACCCATTGTATCTGTTGATTTTCTGGTTAGAGTGATTTATCTGTAAAATAAAATAAATCAATACTTAATTCTCTCCATTTACATATTAGTTTGTCAAGCCTCATACAAGAGAAGGGAGTAACAGGGGAGGACTGGGAGGCTAAGTATCACATTTCACACTTTACTTGACATAATGGGTGAGGATTCTACCAGTTTCTCTCTTACACAGAGAGCTTTATATATTTCCCAGATGGCTGCCATAATATACCCTAAATTCAATACCTTTCTGCAGCAGAAGCTCTGAAATGTGAAGAAGATTACAACAATATTATGGGGAAAAACCCCCACTATGGAAGTTTCACATGGCTTTGGAAGGAATCAGAGTCATCAAGAGACCTGACCTCTGTTTTGGGTTTTCTCATTTCTCATCCTCATGGGCACTGAAAGATATGGTTTAGGGTTTAGGAGTTACAGCAGAGTGGGAGGTTAATGGTTGGACTTGATGACCTTAGAGGTGTCTTCCAACCTTGATGATTCTATGATTCTATTTCTGCCTGTCTCTGTCATACAGATGAGCATGACTCGGTTTACAGGAAGAGAACACAACAAGGTCACAGATGCAAACAGAAATCTATAGGAAAAATGGTGTCTTTAGTCCTCCTGAAACCTGAGGACAAGTTATTCCAAAAGTTCTGTGGTTCAAGCATTGTGGCATTTGCACAGCCAATCTAAGAGAGCCCAACTTTCCTATAAAAACAGTGATTATTTGAGGAATTCTTTGGATTTGTTCTTCCAGAAGAAAATGTATGTATCTGTACAGCACATCAGGTTGGACATTTCAAAAGTGAAACTCTTTAGAATCTCTAGTCACTTAATTTATCTACAGATGATCTGTCCTGGTGTGGTAGAAGTCAGTTCTGTAGGTGGCCCAGATGCAAAGCACAAAATGAAGACACATGAGAGAACTTGCTTTGTGTGACTGAGGCTTATTAAACAGACTACACTTGTTACTGCTGCCTCACAAATTCTGCACCTGAAGGTTATACCTGATACACAGACAAAGTGAAAATTAAATGAACCTGACCTTTTCTTTCTGGATATTATCTGGCAGCTTGAAGCCTTTGGCAGCTATAAAAACCCAGCTTGACCTGAACTTGATATTCTTTATTTCTTTACTTCCCAGTTCTTCTATTAAGTTTTTGGCTTCATTTTTCAACCTAGGAAAGTGAAATGAAAAAAAAAAAAAAAGTGTTAAAAAAATTCAGGATGTGAAAAATGCTGAAAAACATCACAGCTGATTCATGCTTTACACTAAGCATTAAGCCAGAAGAAGCAATAAGGAGAATTAAAAAGTCCTGAGAGTTGTGTTAGCAGGAGGGCATTGAATACACAGAGAGAATTCAGAAAGAGGATTCAGGTCAGGATTCTTCCTCCTCAATACATTCCTGATGTCAATACAACCTGTGTGTAACAGCATAGCAGAAGGAAAAATGTATCTCAAACACTATCTGATGTTCAACTCTTCTTAAATAAGGACAAGAGCATCAAATGTGAATTAAGTCTTTCCCTGATAATTACCATATCATGAATTCAACTGAAAAAACCCTAAGATTCAAAAGCACCTGAAGAATCAGGTTAAGATGTAAGAAGGAATCAGGTTAAGATGTAAAAGGGAATGCAAACTAGATATATCATAATTGTAGGTGTGGATAAATAACATTTAAGAGTAAAGAATAACAAGTATTCATTTAAGAATAAAGAAGGCTGTGGCCCAGAGGTAACAGCAATATCTTTTAGGGTGCTTTGAAATAAATATGATGCTATCTTAGCTGGTGAGGCCACACTTTGAATCCTGTGCTCAGTTCTGGGCCCCTCAGCTCAGGAGGGACATTGAGGGGCTGGAGCAGGTCCAGGGAAGAGCAACGAGGCTGGTGAAGGGACTGGAGCACAAGGGCCATGAGGAGAGGCTGAGGGAGCTGGGGGTGTTCAGCCTGGAGAAGAGGAGGCTCAGGGGAGACCTTCTCACCCTCTGCAACTCCCTGACAGGAGGTTGGAGTCAGGTGGGGGTTGGTCTCTTCTCCCAGGCAACCAGCAGCAGGACAAGAGGGCACAGACTCAAGCTCTGCCAGGGGAGGGTTAGGTTGGATATTAGGAAGAGATTTTTTACAGAGAGAGTGCTCAGGCATTGGAATGTGCTGCCCAGGGAGGTGGTGGATTCACCATCCCTGGAGGTTTTCCAGCTGAGACTGGATGTGGCACTTAGTGCCATGGTCTAGTGACCACGGTAGAGTTGGACTGGATGATCTTGGAGGTCTCTTCCAACCAGGCTGATTCTATGATCTTAGGAAGCATCAACATACATGATACGTGCAAACATGAGGAAGTATCAACATACATGATACGTGCAAACATGGAGAGGACATGGAATCAAAACATTTTAGTCAGGAAATGAGAGAACAACCCTGACTATAGAGTGAAATGTACCATCCCTTTCCACCATTCCACAATAATTTTTCCAGCTGTTCACTGCCCTGTTCCTCAGCCTGTCAGGAATAGCTGCTTACAAGGTGCTTCCATCATCGTGAGTCGCCATGAGGAGGAGAGTCCCTTCCGGTGCATTCCTGATGAAATCCATCATCTCTCCTGAGTGCTCTGTGGAATCAACCACACAACTGATCATTCACTATGCTCATTCTTGTTCATGCAAGGAAGGTCACAAGCATTTTTAAGGAGTCAGAGAATCAGCTTCCAGTGCCTCAGAGCTATTTCTTTCTCCTCAGCAATGGATAAGGAAACTTATCGTTCAAAGTTTAGAAAATGTGTTAGAAGCTATTCTGAAACTAGATCATCTTTCTAGCCACATGGAAAGATGTCAAGAGACAGACTAACATATTTCCTATGATGATTTTACAACTAAAATAGAACAAAATATGTCAGGAAAAGGAATTTTGCTGAGTGAAGCATCTGGACATAGTATCTGCTTAAGTGCTATTCCTACCAGACCGAAATAATGGAGGCAAAAAACCCCACCAAATCAAGGAAAAGAACAAGACAGTTCTTTAAAAATACAATTAACTATCTTAACCAACAGGAGAAATTCAGTTTTTCAGGCACAATTTGTCATCATATCTGGCCAGAGTATATTTTACGGAGAGAGCAGCTGTTTGTTTCTAGCTGATCCCTGTTGATAGTTCAATTATAGTCACTTGAAAGAGCAGGATAATTATGTAAATCTAAGTACTTCCTTAATGCTGAAACACCAACAAAAGCTCTATTGCACTCTTTTCCTTACCTCCTGTCCACATGTCAAAAAATTTTGTCGATGCAACTTTTCCTGTTCTATCTGTAACAAAAACCCCCAAACTTCTATTAATATGAGCAAAAATTATTATATTCAATCAGCACATACATTTAGGATTTTCAGCTAAAACTAGACATCTCTAATTTTGTGTATTATTTACTTCTGAGTTTTGTTTCAGTTTTTAAATCTGAAGGAGTATGAAATAACATGTTTACAATTCGGAGAGAATATTTGGTTTCATGGATTCTCTGAATCATCCAATGTGGCTAAAACATTTTTATTAATTCTTCTTTTAAAGAAAAATTCAGTTTCCCTGTGCATCCATGTTTTGATATCTAAATATACTATACTAGCTCTAATGAAGCTAATTAGAAGCTAGATGTGCTCTGATCCAATTAGATGACATGTAGAAGATATGTCTTGCTATAGATTGGTGTGAGCTAATGGACAGATTTACCTGCAAGCTTTGCCAAAATCTTGCTTATGCATTCAAGATGAGTATTTGGCCTCTTACTCTACAGGTGTATGCTGAATATGCATTTTTAAATGCTCACCTGTTGTAACCAGTAAAGTATTTATTATTGGAAAAAGAAATGCAGTAGTTAACTGGAAAAAAATCAGAACAGATTCTTGTCGATGGTAATTTAATCCAATAAATTCAATAAAATCATGTGAGTTTAGGCAAGGTCAAGATCTTGCTTAGCAACAGTGAGCCAAAAAGCAGGAATAGAAGTGGTTTGTGATCAAAGCCAACTTGACTGTGTCTGTGAACTCTCTTTCTTCCCCTCCCCCACAGGATTTAGGCATTCACTTTTTTTTCCCAAGGATCCATTATTGAATACATTGCACTTCATCCCTATTCCTATTCATCTCAATTAAAATGTTGCCTCCAGATCTGGAATAAACAGCACCTTCTGCTTTCCAACAGATCCTACTATAAGCAAAGACATATAAAGGCAGTTGAATATTAATCAAGCTTTGAGTTTGTCTTTCTGTCCACTGATGAAGTCTGGGAAAGGAATTTGTGCTGTGGCTGAACTGCAATTCTCAGTTACTGCTTCCCCCTTATCAGTGGAGCAGGAGATATAATTTTTCAAGGCCTGAAGCTGAAATTTGAGTCTTACTGCTGGAGATCACAGATATTTTTGCTATGTTTTGTCTAATAAAATACACTTTACCACTTCTAGCTACACATTTTCTACTTTCTTACACTGATTATGAACATGTTTCTTTTGTTTACCCAGAAGACTATTTTTCTCATATAGATTCGTCTTTCTGACATTTCACATGAATCAAGTTTGCAACATTTTCCTTTCCTTTTCATACTAAGTAGTAAAACCCCTACAAACCAAACAAAAACAACCCCCTAACATCCCAGGAACCTTTGTAAATTATTGCAGTACCAAAGTATGTCTCTCTCACACAGTTTTTCTCTTACTTACAATTCACAATGGCAATGTTTATACCTCTTCCAACATTACTCTTCCCTTCACTTATAAGCCTGGAATTGAAATACACACAGCATCAGTAAAATTCATCTGTCTAGAAGCTCTGATCCACAATTATATTTACCTGTAAATTACCAAGTAATTTTCTGATATTCATGTTTTTTCCAGTTATTAAATTCAAGACTTTGTAGCAAACAAGAGCTATGGCTTAAAAATCTTGCACATTGTATCAGTTTCCTTCAACAATGGCTCTTTCAAAATGAGCCAGATCATGAAAATACTTCATACAAATGAAGCCAGAAAGATAAAGGAGGTAAAAAAACCTCAAGCTAAAATGTGGGTTTGTGGCAGTATTCTCTGTGGACTATATCTCCAGTATAGATCACTGCAAGGTTTTGAAGTTATTCTACCTGCCCAGTTTGAAAAGTCCCAAAAGAACTTGACTTTCAGAAGGTGTTGAGCATTGAGCATTCTGTAAATTTGCTGTCCTGCACCATGAAAATCAAAAATCATACTGGAAACTAACAGTTAAGTGCAGCCTAAATAACTGGAGATTAGGTTAAAAAAAGTAAAAAGCCAGAGAGGGAAAAAAAAAAAAGAAGAAGAGTTAAATACTGTCAGTTTTCACCAGAACAGGAGTCCCCTGGTAGGAACTCACTTGCTGCTACTGAACCCAAACCAAACACCCTTCCTTACACTACTGAACACTTGCTTAGATTTAAAGTTAGACTGGTACTCACAGCTCATCCTCAAAACAAATTTTGGCCAGGTTTTGTTTGCCACCACCACTGAGAATGCGATAGGCATAGCTCCCAGGGGAGCAGGGAGACCAGTGATCACACTTCTGCCTTTTGGGGGCTGGGGCTGCAACAGCAAAGGTGAGAAAATGTTTTCCTGGATGCTGCATAAACAGTTTCTACATGAAAAGAATCACACGCTAGACTCAAATATATGTACACAGGACCCAACCTTGCCAGTTTTCCAGGAGCATGGCAATATTCTCTGGGCTTTATGTTCTTGTTGACTTTCAAACAGATGCTGGATCCAAGTGCAAACATATTCAGGCAAAAATGCCCCAGATAGTATGATCTAAATTGAATCTAGAGTAATTATTTTTAGCTATTTCATACAACAATAAACGAGGGTGAGAGGGATAAAGGTTTCCTACTGATACCTTAAGGTTGGTATTATTCTCATTTTAAACCTTCTCTCAAATAATAACATAGGCACAGAATGAGAAAAATGTACACCTTAAGCCACCAGGTCAGGTTAGAGAGAAAACATAATGTGAATTTAACCACAAAATTTGGTGAATGAGTCAACAGTTTACTATAATTGTAAAATACATGTGACAGAAGCAAAGCTGCAGCTTTGTGCTTATATACCAGCAAACAAATAAGGTATTCTTACATCTCTGTTCAATTAATTACATTTGCATACTGGCAAAAATAGGTGGACATTGTCTTTCTTCAAAGATAGTGTCTAAGAAAAAGTTCAGAGTGGGATTGATTAATTTTACACAGTCAACTTATAATAGCACATACCAAATGGTTTCTTAAAACAAACCATTTCATAGAATCATAGGATTTAAGGGT